TTAATCCTCAGAACAATCATAAAAAGTTAACACTGTTATTTACTGTGCCCATTTTGTAGGTTACAAAACATAGAAAAGCTAAGTAATTTGGCCAAGGTCACACAGTGACTAAATACAAAGCAAAGATTTCGATTATAGCAGTCATATTCCAGAGGCCATGCTCTTACATGCTAAGCCATACTGTTTACTCTATTTTAAAAAGGCCTATATAATCACATTTGCTTCATTCTGAGCCTAACTGCAGAGAATTTATGTATCTTTATTCAAATTGGCCAAATGGACTTGTTCAACAGCTAGAGAAATATAGCCATTACAAATAATATTGATCAGTCAGCTTGGTAATTTGGGCATATACATTTTACAGATATTTATTTTAATTAGTTTGGTAATATTTATTAACAGGTACTCTAAATTCTTTATGCAGAGTTTTAAACCTATGTGGGAAATGTGTAAGTCAAATCAATAAGCATGCTTCATAGGACAAATAACACATGATGCAGTCATTCTCATATAAACGTGAGAGTTCTACCAGTGAGAAATGGTTAAAATTGTACATGGTGGGAAACTAATAGTTTAAAATTATCTTATTACTGAATACTCCAAATATATAAGCCATGAGTTCAACTTAAAAAGCTAGAAAAATTAAGCAAATCAAAAGAAAGTATAAGGTGAAAACTTATGATGATAAGAGGTATAAGAGATACAATCAAAACTAAATTAAAATTCAAAATTAAACCCAAAAGCCAGTTCACAACAAGGAGAGAGAGGGAGGAAAGCAGAGGGAGAGGTGGAGGGAAGGAAGGGGAGAAAGAGAGAGAGCATGAGCGAATGAATCAAGAATTTTTAAAGTTATCAATGAGGAAGAAGATATAATCACAGATAAGGATACATTTAAAATTTATAAGTAGGTTTTATGTAACTTTATGCTAATTAAACCTGAAAAACTAGACAAATGGATAACGAGGAAAATGTAAACTATCAATATCTACTGAAAAAGTAGAAAAAGTCAAAAGACTAATAACCAAAAGAAACTGAAGAAACTGTCAAACATTTATCAATAAAAATGATGGGGTTTTATAGGAGAGTTCTACTTAACCTTAGAAGAATTTTATATAAATATTAAATTGGAAAAATAATTGAAGATGGCAGATATCCTCCCAATGAAAAAAAAAAGCTAGCCTAAATCTTGTATCAAAGTTCTCTGAAATGGCAATGCTAAATATTAAAATGAAGACTAATTTCACTAATAAACAGAAGGAAATGCAAAAAATTCCCAAGTAAGATTTAATCAAATATCATTCATTGGTGGATTAAAAGATATACAGGCATACCTTGTTTTACTGCACTCTGCTTTACTGCGTCTCATAGATATTGCATTTTTTACGTACTGAAGTCCAGTAAGTCTATTGGAGTCATTTTCTAACTACATGAGTGTGTGTGTCAATCACGTTCTGATAATTCTCGCAATATTTCAAACTTTTTCAGTATTATTATATCTGTTAGGGTGATCTGTGATCAGTGGTCTTTGATGTTACTACTGTAATTATTTTGGGCACCAGAAACAGCACCCAAATAAGATGGCATACTTAATCAATAAATATAGTGCCTGTTCTGACTGCTTCACAGACCTGGAGTTCCTCTATCTCTCTTCTTCTCCTCAAGCCTCCTTATTCCCTGAGAAACAGAATATCGATATTAGGCCACCTAATAACTCTACAATGGCCTCTAACTGTTCAAGTGAAAGGAAGAGTTGCACATTCCTCACTTTAAATGAAAAGCTAGAAATGATTAAGTTTAGTGACGAATGCAGGCTGAAATATTTTCATAGCTAAAGAGTGGAGATCAATGCCTGGCTCTAAAGCTTCAAAGGATAGGCTGAGTCTCTTGTTAAGGCTAATGCAACTGGTGACTAAGTTGAAACCAATGCTCATTTACCATTCCAAAAATTCTAGGGCTTTTAAAAGTTACGCTAAATCTATTCTGCCTGTACTCCGTAAGTGGAACAACAAAGCCCACAGCACATCTGTTTACATCATGGTTTACTGAATATTTTAAGCCCACTGTTGAGACCTACTGCTCGGAAAAAAAGATTATTTTCAAAATATTACTACTCATTCAAAATATTACTGACAATATACCTGGTCATCTAAGAGATCTAATGAAGATTTATGTACAAGGAGATTAATGTTGTTTTCATGCCTGATACACAGCATCCACTCTGCAGCCCACAGATCTTCTTGATTTAGACTTTCAAGTCTTATTATTTAAGAAATAATGTTACAAGGCAATAGCTGCCATAGATAGTAATTCCTCTGATGGATCTGGGCCAAGTACATTGAATATCTTCTGGAAAGGATTCACCTTGAGAGATGCCATTAAGTACATTCAGGATTCATTGGAGGAGGTCCACATACCAACATAAGTAAGAGTTTAGAAGAACCTGATTCCACCCTCATGGATAAATTTGAGGGGTTCAAAACTTCAGTGCAGGAAGTAACTGCAGATGTCGTAGAAATAGCAAGAGAACTGGGATCAGAAGTGGAGCCTGAAG